TAATTGAAAGTTCTCTCATGATTAAAATATGTAATAATCATACAAATTTGTGTCTATGTAAAATCTCAAACCAAATCATAAAATTCTCACAAATTGAGGGCAAATCTTAATGAGTACTTTTTTTATCTTAAATATAATATATCTTCTTAATTTGACCTGAAATTCAGAACTAAGTGTTTGCTCCACATATCCAATGGTGTGCATACTATAATTATCCGTTTTTATTTTGGTAGGACCATGTTTGGTGATTTGATTTGTATTCTGTTGAAATTGGTTACAAGCATGATTTAGTAATTGAGTTTGTCTTCCAATTCTCCTCTATAGCTAATATTTCTCTAAAAACTCAAGAATGTACAATAAAAAATGTGAAGTAAAGTTCAAATGAAGATATTCCACCAAACTTGCTAATAACAAAAATTTGTTTTATTTATGCTAGGTTGACTAAGGGTTTATTTAAGAACATTTTTCATTTTCTTTTTCTTTTGCTTTTACTTTTTTTTTAAAATATAAAAATAAAAATTAAAAAATAATCCCAAGTATGTTGTTAAAAATTTTTTCATAACTTTCTATTTTACATTTCAAAAAACAAATAATTTATTTTTAAAACTTTCATAACAAATTTTATGAATTTTTGAGTATTTTTAAAAATATTGATAATTATCATTCGCCGCACGCCCACACCATACGATGTCCACTACCAACTCTAGCCGCCACAGGCCATTGGCCACGACGATGTCTATTGAAAATATATATTTTTAACACGAAGTATATTTCATTTCAAATCAAAATATGAATAACATAAATAGACGTAAAATAAAAGTGATTGAAGCACCTTTTTTTCTTTTGCAAAGTCGGCATCTTTTCTTTCAATATCTCCAGCTTTCTTTTAATCTTGAATTGACAAAATATACTTGGTCCATCTTAATCTGATGAACGACCGGGCTAAATTTCTAGTCTCAATCAAGCAGATGAACCAAACAAAATCAAGTACCATTTCACTTTCTCAACTGCAACTTGACTATTCTTAAGCTTATAAACAGATCTGTTAGATATTATATGCCCCTCAAATACTTATTCAATTGACATCAAGATTGAGAGAGAGAAAAAGAAGCGATAAAATCTCGTATTTTTTCTATATTTGATTTTTTACCTCTGCTTCTGTGTAGTGACGCCTAGGTGAGGATAACGGTATAATTTTCAAACCGACTAGCCTAAAAAGGAGAAAATTTTCTGTCTCGAGTCCTGTCCGGAGTCCGAACACAGCTCTGCGTGCAGATTCCAGTAATATGCCATCATGTGTGATATATCGTGTCCACCTAAAATAATATTAAAGTGGAACTGTGGTGGTTATTGGAGTGGAACCGCGGAAATTATTGTAGTGAAACTGTGGATATTATTGGGAGGGTTATTGAGGGGTTATTGGGGTAACTCCAATGACGCCACAATAACCTCCCAATAACCTCCAATAACCTCCACGGTATCACTTCAGTAACCCTGACAATAGCCTCCACAGTACCATTCATAATCTCCTACATTAACCCCGCAATCTTCAAATTGCAGCATATTATTGGAAGTCCGCAAGTAGAACCACGTCCGGAGTCCAAACAAAAAATTTTTCCCCTTAATAGTGCCTTTTATTTAATCGTTTATATTTTGAGTTGATCTTGATTTTTTTCTTTCTATAACTGACATGTAATTTTTGAGTTGATCTTTCTATTGTTTTTATTATGTTTCTTATGAAAGTTGTTTAAGGGCATGATGTCATGCCCAACCCAAGCAAAACCAAATGTTATGACTCCGTCATGCATGCTTCCATAAACAAATAAGAAGATGTACATACATACATACCATTCAATTCTTATTTATATGCATATCTAACACCTAAACTTCAATTTTTACATACATGTCACTTTTCCTATGCATGAAAACATTTTAAAGTTTAACATGGTGAGTTTTGTGAAAGATTTTGGGTGTTATAATTGTAAAAATTAAAATTTAGATGTTAGATATGTAAATACATAAGAATTGGGTGGTATGTATGTAAAAGCTCCAAATGTATATTATTTGTAGTTAATGCTGGACCATCGTGAACCAACAGTTTGAGTCAACCGTTATAGTTTTAATTTGTTCGCAGTCTAGCTGAAAAAATTTAGGTTGGTTTAGATCCTTGGCAAGGGTTGAGTTTAAAGCCGTTGAATTAGCAGTTAAGCAAATGCTAAATTCTAAGATTTATGATTTAGGGTTAACCGCTGCTAAATTTAGTTATTTTATAACTGTTTAAATTGCTGTTACTTTTATTGTACTGTTGCAAAATTTGTTTAGACGGATGCATCATTTTGTTTACCTGATAATAAATTTTCTAACTGCTACTAGATAAGTGTTGATAGATTCGGTGAAGAATGATCTAAAAGATTTGAAATTTCTTGTAGAGTCCTTTCTCTTGTTTGTTTTTGTAATCGTAGCATTATTGTTATTGTTATTAATGTTGTATTTGTTTTGATGATGTTGATGTATTCTGGAAGACAAACTATATTACTTCAGGTTTTTATTGGTAAGTTAACCCGTATGTTTAGTTGGGATGCAACTTCTTTTGAATATATTATGTTGAGTGAAAATAACTTGAGAAATTATCATTGAATTTATTCCAAATAAATGTCCGTTTTCATAATCAAAATAATTATTTTAAAATCAAGCCTTCACTTTATTCAATAAATTAATTTGTACAACTTATTTTTTATTTCTAATTTTTTGGGTAGCATGGTTAAAAAATGAGAGTTGTGAGTGCCAAAACTTTATATGTTTTCTACATAATATATACTGAGGGGTATGTTGTGGTAGTATGTAAAATAGAATGATCGTTCTATTTTATATACTACCACAACAGGGTATTGCAGTCATTAGTTCACAAACAGTGCTTTCAAAACTACGTTTATCAAACATGCCAGTTTCTTCTGAAACACAAACTTCTGAATAGCAGCTTTTGAACTTAGATTTTGCACAGCCACAACTGAAACAATCACACCTTCATTCTTTTAGTATTGTTTGAATTAATTAAAAGCATATACTACAAATATGCCATCACAAATCTCGAAATAATCGAACGGTCAGGGACAAGGCATGCAAGTGAATTTCCAAACAACAGAATAGAATGTTCAACGATACGGGGTTGATCGACCTCATAGACTGATTGACCAAGATAGCATTCTGACTGGTAGTTTCTCCCAACCAGCTGAATCTTCCGGGCGGCAAAATTGATGGTTGCAAAGCCGCGATCGAGTGCTCACGTCCTGGTCGAACAACCTGATCTCTCGAAGCAGATACGATCGGTCGCCACAACCGGTCAATGCACACATTCGTCCGTTGCTCGACCTAGCCGATCCACCCAAAGCTTTGGGCGATCGACCGGACGTCACCTTTTAGTACTCATTACCATGTAATCTGAAGTCAATTGTTTAAGACAGTTATGGAATCTATTCTTTCTATACATATACCTGTTATGGAATTGATTCTTTGACATTTCCTCTCAGCCCTTTATCTCTCTCCCTCTCACTCCGTTGTTTTCAGGCCTAAATCTTGGGACATATTTCTAAGAATACAATTTAGGATTCAACAAAAAAAGTTTGGTAATTTTTATAAATAAATGCGATTGATTATGTTGACCCTTTTTATGCTCAATTAAGATTCAAAATATAACTCTTAAGAACATCTAAATGTTTTCTGAGTGTAGCAATTATATAAGGAAGTTCACATTTAGGAGAATCATTTATTATATTCATATGAATATATATTTTTCAACTATTCGATATGGGACTAAATCAAAATTCTCTTAACAATCTCTCCCTTATATGTGTGCCCTCAGTATAGGTTTTATCAATATTATGTATTATGCACCATGAGCCCATTGAAGCAAATGGAGTTGAACCTTAATGTAGTGAAAGGCACCAAAGAAACATAGCATCCACGTACCTCACTAAACAATCAATGTCAGTCAGATCTTTAATTTTGATACCACTTATTAGAAAATATGAAGAACTCCAAAATCACTGATCAGACCTATTTTTAATTTGAAAATTTATGTCTATGGGAGAAGGCTAAAATTCCAATTGTCTAAATTAAAATGTTTTTTAATTATTTGATGCAACAAATCTTAAACTCGTTCAATCATTAAGTCGGAAATATTTTATTGAGAATTTTGAAATATGTTTATTGTCAAGGAGTAACTTTCATCGATCAAACACCTCTTAGTCAACTTAGTTTCCACGAATATTAGGCTAGAACACTATGAACTCGAGTGAACTCGAGAGAGGATATGAACTTTAGAAGTTAAAACTATAATATATTACATTTTGGAGAACTTTACAAGACTAATAACTTTTGTATTCTCTTTGGATAGAATACAAATGAGATATCAACTCCTATTTATTAGCTTTCCCTTCCCTATATAACTTTTTGGATTACATTAAAATATTCATACACATAAAAAAGTTTTGATTGTTCTATACTACTTTTAAGCATCTAAAATATTTTAGTGTTCCTGAGGCTCAGATTATTCACAAAGTATCTATAAGATTTTAGGAATTTCTCAAAATTTATAACATTCTGTAACATCTACAATCATCCGAGGTCTTCCAGAGCCTCTTGCACGAATCTAAACTTGTGTAAGACCTTCCGAAACTTTTTAATGCATTATGGTTTCATTTCAATATGGTTCTAATAGACCCTTGTGACCATGCTCCCCATTGAATCACCTTCTATGCTAAAAAAATAATATCTTGATGAATTAGAGTTCAAATTTACAATTGAAAGGCATAAGAGTACAAATTGAAATTGGCATCCAAGAAATACACCAGAGAATCAAGTATCATTCACAAAAAGGAGAACTCAATGGGATCCAATTTTAGCTAAGTCAAAACAATGACCAATATGATGGGAATCCTCCTTCCAACATATGCAGAGTCATCTCTCTTTAATTCATGATTCTGGAGCCATGCGCTGTACAGAGAGGTATTGAGATAGTTTTAACAATATCTTGATGGATTAATGTTCAGTTAGTACATGCAGCTTTGTTACAATGAAAACATGTCATATATATATATATATAATAACTTGTGATCTATTGTGGGGATTTAATCATGGATTTCAATTGATCTCTGTTCTAGAGAATATACTGATCTCCAGTAAAGGAAATACTCATTTTCATTAGTATTTTTTTACAATGGAAACTTCAAATTAGAAATCTAATCAACGAAACAGAGCATCTATTTCCGTAAACTTGCAATATATTGGAGATTCTTCCCTATTCTGAAAGAAGAGGCTCATGGCCGATTCCCAATCTTTCACGACTCCACTCTTCTGCAATCACGCTCCCTAGTGCTGGAAAATTGGATCCACAAGCATCTGGTTTCCAAACAACACGTTATGATTCCCAGCAACCCTCATGGCTGCTGCTTCCTCAATAGCAGCAGTGCCTCCTTCATCATCCTCGCCGCAGCCTGAAAAGAGATCGTCAATGGAGCCCATAGCCGAGTCTCCAAAGAGCTGACAGTAGTCCGGCTCCAGAAGATGAGCCAAGGAGCAAGACCGTGGAAACTTCGGCGCTGTCTCGAAATCTTCCGTCTCTGCGGCGGATTCTTCTCGCGCAGGCGTTGCAATTATGTACCCCATATCTTCTGTGTTCTTCCTCGGCTGCCTCTTTTGGTAGATCCTACACAGCACCCAGTCGTCCAACTACATGAAAAAATACTAAGAAATTAACAGGGATGTGCTAAACACCAGTGTTAGGTTATGATGGTCTTGTGAGTAGCTTACAATCATGGATTTGTTAGGTTTGAAGGGGCTGTGGCTGTTGGTGTGGTTTTGCAGACGATACTCGTGCATGATCCAATCAGTCTTGGATCCCTTCGGCGGCCGCCCCTTGTAAAAAACCAGAGCTTTCTTTACCCCAACATAGCGAGAGCTGCTGTAAATGGCCTTATCGGTGCCAGTCGCCTTCCAGTATCCGGACGCGGTGGCTCGATTCGGCCGCATGCCGTTTGGATACTTGCGGTCGCGAGGGGTGAAGAAGTACCACTCCCTCTCCCCCAGCTCTGATTTCCCTGCAACAAAGTTTCTTTTGGATATTAAAAAATGGGAGATGAAATCAAGCAAGTTCGATGAAGATGAGAGGGAGGCGAACCAGGGAGCTCCCATGGATCGAATTTGTAAATATTGAGCTCGGGTATGATGGGAGCAGGGCAGGGTTGCGACATGGCCTGGTTGCGGAGGTAGTAGACGATGAGCTCTTCGTCGGTTGGGTGGAATCTGAAACCGGGAGGAAGTTTACAGGCCATTCTGGATGTCGAGCGGAGATTGATGGAGGAGAAGAGAGTTCTTTGGGAGAAAAGAGAGGTTTTTGAAGATTTTGGGCAATGGGAAATTGGTGGAGATTTGTGATCCTGACCCTTATATAGCCACCCAACGCGATTTTTTAAAGCTAGTTTGATAATCATTGAGGATGTCTTTTGACTGCAGCCGCACGTGCCCAAATTTCTAATTTTTATATATTTTTCTTTCGCTAAGACTATTCTGATATCGATTAGATCCACCTCTTGAATTTCGTTTGATCTCAGGGTGTTTTTGGGGTGGTGGTAATTTTTTAGAAAGGTTGGATTATAGAAGTATGGTGAAGAAAATAACTTCGAATGCTGTGATCAGAATTATGAACATATTTTAAAAAGAAATTACACAATAGCTTTCTTTTTAACCACCATACCTTAACAAATCAGGTCTTTTCACCACAAAAATTTCTAAAATATAGCAAGAAAGCAATTCTTTAAATGGAGCAGTCTTGGTGATCTGAAATGTAAAACATGCAGAAAGCTGTCGCAAACGAATCATAAGCTTAAGCCGAACCAGATATTGTTAAAGCATAACATGAATTGATCAACAATTTGTTTGAGACAACTGTAACTATTTGAAAAAGTAGCTGTGAAATTGTTATAGAAGAAGTTGTAAGTCAAAATATTGTAGTTGCTATAAAAATTTTATTTTCAAAAAATTGGACCACAACTTTCCAATAACCACTATACTTAATCAGATAAATCTGTAACTGTGAAATTGTTAAAGAAGAAGTTATAAGTCAAAATATTGTAGTGACTATAAAAATTTTATTTTCAAAAAATTGGATCACAATTTTCCAATAACCACTATACTTAATCAGATAAATCTGAAAAAAAAGAAGCTTTTCATTGTAGTTTTTTCAAAAGCAGGCAAAACATTGTTGTCAAACATTAAAAAATATATATATGGTGTAACACCACACCACCATCATCACATTTAGCTCATTGTGGGTTTAATATAATCTAATCACGGGCAAAACTGTACGGATCAGCTATTTGGCCACAACGGCTGTCTGCTGTTTGCGAAAGGAATCTCCCGGTTCCCCAAAGATTCTGCACGAAAGTGGCGGCTGGTCGACATGTGTCACCATGGACGATAATAGCTTTAGCGAAGTTACTCTTCCGGCCACGTCACCGCAGGTTCTTCCCATCGGTTTTAATGGCCATTAAATTTTTGCCGATTAAAGAATTCCCGCATGCGGATGACCACATAAGGAATATACACTCCGGTAGTACGGTGGCGTGTCGTGGACCAATAGGAAGCGACCGTGTGTGCTCGAGGGTTATCCAAGCGTGGGTATCTCTTTAACCGTGTTTTTCAGTCGTAAACAGGCCGGGAGGATGATCCGGACCGTTGAATTTGAGGGGTTCAGTTGTTGGTCGGCGAGCGCGAAGTCCACGACTCGCTCAATGATTGGTGGGAGATTGGATGACGTGGCGCGTGAGCCGTCGCTGTTATGCTGGCGTCCTCCGTTAGGTGGATATGGGCTTTTCTATCTACTTTTGACTATTGGGCTCTGCGAGGTGATTGTGATTAGTATTTAACGTACGAATGGATAACTTTTGGGCTCGGCGAGGGGAGGGCCCGATCTCCATTCATTCTTTACCTTTACGGATGAAAATGATTGATACGACTCAGACATTTTCATATGTGGCGTAGTTCTGATTGAATATTTGATTTTTGGCAGGGATTAGGATGCATCCGTACGGATATTGGGATACATTCATGATAGGATATGGATCGATACAGAATACTGCTATTTTTAAAAATTAGGATTGTTAAGTATTTAGCGCTTTTCGTGTTGTTATTTATAAAACTAGCACCTTAATGACTTTTATGAATTGCTAAACCGATGCATTTGATGCAAATAAGAAAAAAATGTGTCGGTGTTTATTGTGAATTTTGATTTTTTTAGTGACAATTTAAAAATTGGGGAAAAGATGGGGTTAGTTTTGTAAATATTAATATGTTATGTGATGTGCATGTAATTGCACCTTGAAAATGTTTAACTTGGTTTTACCTTTGACACTACATTATAATACATTATATTATAAAATTTAAAAAAGTGACAATTTAAAAATTGGAGAAAAGATGGGGTTAGTTTTGTAAATATTAATATTTTATGTGATGTGCATGTAATTGCAGCTTGAAAATGTTTGACTTGGATTTACCTTGGAACTACATTATAATACATTATATTATAAAATTTAAAAGACTATATATTTATCACATAAATTAAATAAATATGAAATAAATAATAAATATCTTAGCATTATAAATGTAACAAATAATGATATTTAAGAATAAAAAAATTTACTTGATTATTATATTATTCATAAATCAAATAAGTAAGCAAAAATAATATATATATATATATATATATATATATATA